GGCTGCAGTGCTTTGGATGTGCAGTGCTTCCAACAGGCTCTATTCCATGTTCAGTCAGGTTTTTTGCCAACATGTCTCTAGTAATCACTTCTCTCTAGAAAACCTGGGATTTGGTTTGTTTCTATTTCACAAGACAGGACATTCAGGAGAGATTGTGTCCACTGACCTCGAGATTTCCCATAGGTTAGTCTGTGTTTCAACAGAATCACTTGTTGAGACAAGAGCTAATTTCCCCAAAGCCTCATCAGAAAACTATCTGCATTCATCAACCTTCTAATCCTCATCCCAATCCCATCCTGATTGCTTCCCCCACACCTGCAAAGAGTCCCAGCAAGTCTAAATCCTACCAGGTAATTATCTATCCAGGTAGTTAGTTGAAAGTTCCTCCACCACAAGATCACCATCACCCCACTCAGCACAGAAAACAAGGTCTAGAGTGCTTGGGACTAAGGATAAAAAGGCTATTCAGGAGCTAAACAGACAGTCCCTAAGGGGTGGTTTCCTGCCATCCCTTTCCTTGCCAGATCGGGGTTGTGGCAACTGCACACTGAGGCCCCAATCTGGCACTTTGCCACTCCAAAAAGACCTGGCAAAAGCAGGTCCTTTTTGGAGTGGCAAAAAGCTGCCCTTGCCATGGCAGCAGCAGCTTTTCCGTGCTCCTTTGGCACAGCGTGTCTGAACACTGTGCCAAGGGAGTGCCCTGATGCCACCCACTATGCGGGGGTGTGCAGTGTGACTGAGGCATTGGGGAAGAATTGTGGCAGCTGGCATGCGGTTGCCACACTCTGACTCCACCCCCAGGTTGGCCCTTTTGGCCAGTCTGTATAGGACAGTTTGTATTCTTATACTTGAGAAACTATGGGCTGTTGCAGACTGGCCCAAACGCCCATCTTGGGGGGTAGAGTTGGGGTGGGGCAGCTGCACACTGGCTGCCTCAGCTCCACCCTGAGGCCACCTGGCTGTACGCATGGCATGCGGCATCAGGATGCCATCTGGGTGCAGTGTGTAAAGATCTATTTTTTCTTTACATTATCTTTAAATTCTATGGAGATGTTATTCAAGCTGCATTTTGGTACAATGGTTGATGTAGTTTTACTCTAATTTTTGATATGAGCAGTTAATGGTCTGGCACAATCTGTTCTTGGTCTTATTTTTGGAGAGAGAATGGAACTTCTCCATCTTTTTTCTACCAGTTATGTAATCTATTTGATTTTTATACTGTCCATGAGGTGGTGTCTATTTACAGCAGGCCCTTGGTATTCACTAGGATTTGGTTCCAGGACCGCCCATGGTTATCAAAATCCCTGGATGTTCAAGTCCCATTAAAAACAGTGGATAATAGTTTGGTGTCCCTTATATTAAGTGGCAAATACTAAGTTTTGCTTTTTGGAATTTTAAAAAATGTTTTCAAGCCATAGATGCGTGAAACCATGGATAAAGAATCTGTGGATACTGAGGGCTGACTGTATACAGTTGCCTCTTTGGTTGCTTGAAGAATGTGTTGTGATGAACAAACTGTTGGCCTCACAAAATTCAGTCAGTTGCTCTTCTGCTTTGTTTCATGATTCTAGGCCAAATTTTCCTACAGTCTTATTTTCCTACAGACTAGTGGTGACCCTAAGGTAAAGCTATCATGAGGATTTCTTGTTGAGATTTGTTTTTTTTTGGGGGGGGGGTTGTCTTTACCTTCCTCTCAGGCTGAGAGAGTGTGACTTGCCAATCAGGATGCAGCAGACTGATGTTTTCTTCCACTTTCCACTAGTAGTCTCTGGTGTGAGGAAGAATTGCAACAGGGATCCTGCTTTTCACTGTCACACATGAGATCACTTGTGTGATGGGTCTGGAAATATTATTCTGCTGCATACCAAATGACAGGGGAACAGATCCCTATTACTTGCAGGTAATTCTGCCTACTAGTCAGGATTGCTGGCAAGGTGTCAAGCCAGTAAACACTACCTAACATCACATAGCTAAGTAGTGCATGTAAAATACTGTTTGAAAGATGGTACACTCATTGTTTTGATTGCCTTAAATCTCGAAAGTTTAAAATCCTAGGCCTCACTCCCACTACGTTATAACCCAGTTTGCTAACTGGTTTGAAGTGGTTTGTTCACATTTGATTCTTGTTCACATTTGAGCTGAATCACTGAAGTGGTTTAGTGAGGGGCCCCCTGTGTTAGACCCATTTAATGCACTTCTTTTTGATGCTCTTTTTTTCCATGTCTTTTACAATAAATTGATTCAGCGCAAATGTGAATGGGATACAGATTGGAATTGATTTAAATTTGCCCTTTAAATTTGCCAGCCAGCTGAAAAGAGTCCATTTTGAATTGATTCACTACTCAATGTAAATGACAAGTTATTTTACAACAGGAAAATGCGATCGGGGCAAATGTAGTGTGAACCACACTCCGCTGTCGAACCGATCAATCGATTTGGATCATAAACTGATTTATTTTTATGTGGGAATGAGGGTCTAGTTTCTGGAATCCTTTTAGGCTCATAGAAGTGTGTGTGTGGAATGGAAATGTGTGGAAATGGCCATTTGTTTGTTAAATAAAAAACATGACCATTTATTGGCCATGTGAAATGTTTTTCAGCTTTATTTCTCTGGCAATGACAAGGATGGTTTGAAAATGTGTATTTGTTTGTTTATTTGAAAGGACTCTTTTAAGTCCATTCTACAGAGAAACCACAGCAGAATGAAAGCTAAGCAAACACAGGCAAGTCGTGCACATTTTGGATGGAAAATGACCCATTCATTTGCAAAAACATCATCAGTGATGCTGCCGCCTCACTGCCTTGTCCACACATAAACTGTCTATTGAACTAATTTGGCCAGGGAGACAATACTTTTGCAATATGATCTATAGATTTGCAATGCCCTTACAAATGTCTGTTTAAAAAAAGAAAAAGGAAAGGAAGCAAAAACAAAATAAAATAAGCTTCCAGCATGATAAACCAATTTTATCATGCTTCCAGCATGATAAAGAGAGTGGCAAAAGGCAAATGGTATGCAGTTAGAGTAGCATAGATCCAAGCATAGATATGAAGTGTGTTTGTGTGTGGAGGGGGGAGAGTTAAAGGTTAGAATTGGCAGAATTATGCAGGAGGGAGGCACGCAACAATGGCTGCTGCACCTCACATTTCTCCCTGGCTGCCCTCTAAGATTCACACTGAGATAACCACAAGCCTTCTGTAAACCCTGAAGCTTACATGCGCTTGTTGTACCCTTGACTTTTGCTCTCCGGTTCCTCCTGTTGGATTAAACTTACCCAGGGATTTCTCCTTGTGCCAGTATAGCTTAGACCAGCCAAAAATAACAAACAAACAAACAAGCAAATAAAAAACAGCAACAGAGCTACTCAGCCCAAGATGCTACAGAAACGATGTTCTGATTGCACTGCTCAAAAAAGTGCCTTATCCTAATGTATAATCATGTAGCAAATCATGTACTCATTTGTATTATTAAATAAAGACTAACATAGTTGTACACTCAGCAGAGCAGAAGGAATGCACAAAGGATCATGGGTTCCCAGCATTCTCTGTTCCCTTTTGGAAAGCCGCTGACTCATTCCCTAAACAATCAGTGTTGTGTGGCATTACAAATGGGATGGTTAATAGGCCTGCATCCATTATCATTAGTGCATCTCAGCACGCAGGTATATGATGGGTCCTGCCAGCACGTTTGCTCCAGCTCACTGAGCCAGGGGCCATGCTCCATTGCAAATGAGGATGAGGAACACCTGCTCCAGGGTTTTTCAGCAGACCAGAGTCATCCTTCACATCTCATGCAACACTTGTTCTGTCAGAATGCAAGGCTGGCACACGGGCCTGAACAGTGGTTTGCCAGGCGTCCAACGAAAGATTAGAGACTTCCCTGTGGTCTTCTGCTCAACTTGAGCTTTGATTTCTTTTTTCCCCTCCCCCTCAAAGAAGCCTTTTTAAAAATTTATCAATATCATATTAAGCATTCAATCATTATGTTAAGGGCTTAAAAATAAAGATTTTTCTTTCTTTCTAGAAAAATAAAAGAAAACAGCTCATCTTTTTCTTGGCAATTAGAATAAAGGCATTAAATATTAATGGACGTTGATCATTTTATGCAGGCTGCATCATTCAGACAATTTTCCTAAGTTCTATTAGGAAGATGTTTGTTTCTAAAATTAAGATAGCAACAACTCACTTTGTTGCAGTTACTACTGATATGGCTGGGTTTCCCTTCATTGTTTTGAAACCTGAATTTCAAAGTATAACCTAACAATATACTGGAGATATTTATATAGCGTTTGACTTCAATCCTTTCTTTTTTGCTTTGGTCTAGCTATGTGGAAGAAAGATCCATGACTGTAAACCAATCTGGACCCCCTTTGATATGATAGATTATAATTCCCATCATACCCAACCAATGGTGATGCTGACTGGGATGATGGAAATTGCAGTAAAATATGTCCTGGTTTGGTAAGGCTTCTGAAACCTGTCCCAGATGGAGGTCGTCAATACAGTCTGTGAAATCTAGGTAATAAGAAAGAGGAAGTGTGAGAAAATGTTTATTTGCTTGTTTCCTTCATAATTCCATCACTTGGAATTCTGGATGCCTGAAATGTTGCATGGATAATACTAAGGGGGCACTGAGCATATGCATTTTGAGTTAGCTCATTTATAAATAAGATCAACTATTATATTTCCCTATTGATTCAAAGGAGGAAAAAAATCTCACAACATAACTCCTCAGTTTTTGTGGGGCATTCCCAGTTGTTTTTGCCTTCATGTCCACTTAGCTAGAGAGTCTTGATAGTGGGTTCTTTTTGTTTCCCTATAGGGGACATTTGTTGCTGGACATAGCATTTTTATCTACACTACAAGGTGTGGTTTGCTGCAAGGAAAACTCAAAGAGCTCTTCCTGAAGCTCTGTATCAGAATCCCTCCATCCACAGCAGCCACTGCCAAATGGCTATCCATTCCATACAAAATCCTTTGTAGAGGGGCAGGATGAGAGACCCAGTGTGGTGCAGTGTTTGATCACTAGATTATGACTCTGGAGACCAGGGTTCAAATCCCCACTTGGCCATGAAAACCCACTGGGTGACTGTGGGCAAGTCACACAGCCTCAGAGGTCAACAATGGCAAATCCCCTCTGAAGAAACTTGCCAAGAAAACCCCGTGGTAGGTTTACCTTAGGGTTGCCATAAGTCAGAAATGACTTGAAAGCATAACACAACAACAAGAAGAGGAGGATAGGAGGCAGTGGTGACTAATCAGAGGAACAATGAGCGCTCTTCAGTAAACTGCAAGGGAACATCCCTGCTATTCCTTGTCTCTCTCCCTCCTTCCCTCTGGCTTGTACCATAGCAGGGGCCCTGGTGTTTGCCAGTGCCAGAGTTCATAAAAGGACAACCATCTTCTGTGGCAGGGGAAATAATTCTTGACTAATTTCATTCTTGAAGGAAGCAATAAATAATTTCAGCAATGTTCTCACTGTGCAAAAGCTTTCAAAACCTGCACACTTTTCAAAGACCATTTCCAGTTTGAAACTTAATTTGTACAACATTTGCACATGGTAATTTTTAGTAGAGAAAACCATTTTCTATCAAGAAAAATGTTGGTTCCTGTGTGCTATTTTCTGCACACACAAAATCCCCAGCTGTGAATTTTTTGTAGAATATGCCCTGATTGCAAAGATTCATCTGTCCTGCTGTTTCCATTAGGTGCACCAATTGTTCACCCAAATATCCACAATTCTAATGGTACAACACCCCTTGCATATGTTGTTGTTATTATTCTCTTGTGTGTGTGACATTATGATAATGGTGGTTCATATGGTAAGAGGTCTAAACATGGTCATATGTTGGAAGCTTGTAAAAAAAAGTGTTGTGTTGAGCATAGCATGACCTTTCATTCTTATGCTCCTTAATTGTTAAGGATGCTGGTCATGATAGCTAAACCTACAAAGCTTTATCCTCTGATTAAGGGATCCAGAAAAAAGGCAGAGATCCAATAATTGAAGCTAGTACTCAGGTTTCATCTTTAGGGCTGTTGTTTGGATGCTACGTATCACTCAGATTTATAACTTTTCTTATCCTTTCTTGTATGTCACACAGATATATATCTCTTCCCTCTTCCCATCCTTTCTTGTGAAGGGCAATAACAAGAAAGCAGTGACTCTAAATTTGAGCTGAAGCTCCTGTGATGGTAAAGTGGTATGTAGACCGTAACCTAGATAAAGTTGGAATATTAGTGTTGTGAGATGGGTTGGTTTGTTGTTGTTTTTTTGGAGGTGGACAGAGATATTTTCAACCAATGTCATTCATCTGACCTAACTACACCTAACACTTTTTATTCTGGAAGCACAACAAATAACTGTACTATTCTAGTTTTCCTGGTTTAGTTTTGCTTTGGTGTAATGCAATTGTTTATTCCTCCTATAAAGTTGTCATGCTGCAGGTCTAAGAAAGACAACCAATTACTCACTACATACTCCTTCAACAATAAATGCAGGCCTTATCACAACCCCATTCACTGTTCTGACTGTTTATGTATGTCTTTCTCCCCCACCACCACTTTTTTTTTTTTTTTTTAAAAATAAGTATATCTCTATTTCCAAAATACACTTGTGCTCATTCTCATTATCTTCAGACAGAAGATAATCCTTGCCTCCTGGGGTCACATTTTACTTTACAGGTAAATGAACATAGAAGGGAACCACTCTGTTTTCATAACAAATCCTTTAATATATAAGAGGGCGGAAGATCACAATAAGCATTGCATAATGGTGGAATACTTCTCAGTTATTCCATCAGTAATCTTTTCAATGATTACAGCCATCAGCAATTGGACTGAAGGATCAGATTATAAAATTCTTCAGAAAATGACTACCCAACTGCTATATGAAGGGATTTAGAATATAAAGCATATTATAAAAATCCATATGAAATCCATGATTTTGACTGTGTGAAACTTGAGATTTGACAATCTCTGTAGGTGTTTCCCTGTGTTAGAATTTAATTAATTTAGGATTGATATGAAATGTGTGTGTGTGTGGGGGTTGGGGTAGTTCATGAAAAATGTTGTCCCCTGTGAAGATACTCTATTTCACAGCTGTTTGTAGGAATTTGTGGAAGAAGGAAAAGGTAACCACCAATTTGTAATGAAGGCAGGAAGTATTGCCTTCATTCTGAGCTGGGTTTGTGATGGCTTTACATTACCAAATCTCAAATTAGAAAGTGTAATAATTCCTGACTTCACTTGGATTTTGCTTTGTAATGAGCTACAGGTATATGCCAATTGTAAGACAATACAATACAATACCCCAGATCCCTACCACCAGATTTATAGGTGAAAATGTTATGCCATTCTATTTTTCTCCCTCCACTTCTTTGAAAAGCTAGATGTGCTATCACATAGGAATCTATCGGTTAGATATAGACTTGGGTCCTGTCTGCATGGGCCAAATAAAACCTCTCCCCATCCTCCCAGTGGGGAGACTGGATGATGCACAGCTGAAACCCCAGTTCTGGTATGAACAGACTGGACAACAGGTGGCCTGCTCAGAACTAGAACTGAGTATGAGATCCTTCATATGCATTACTACTTGCTCTTGATCTTCTGGGAAGATCCATAGCCCTCTGTTCTGATTTCAGATGGCTGTTTAAAATATGTCCTGCTCTGCCACCCAGTCACCCATTTTGAGGTCAGAACAAGGTGCCCAGCCATGTGATCAAGAATGGGGATCTTATTCTGACCTCACATGAAGCAACCTGTCAAGGCAGTGGATGTGCTGGGCAGCTGAGTGGGATGTGAGTGCCAATAGCCATCCAGCATGGGAACAGAAGGCCTTTGCAACAGGGGAGGGTTTGGGCCAGAGGTAGGCAACCTTTCCCCTTTAAGGGCCAAGGGACTTCAGCTCCCAGAATCCCAGGAGCTATTGGCCAACATGGGACTATTGTCCAACATGGCTGAGGCTTCTGGGAGCTGAAGTCCCTTGGCCCTTAAAGGGGAAAGGTTGCCTACCCCTGGTTTGGGCAGATTCAAAGCTAGGTTACTGGGTTGCACTGTGCCAGAGCAAACAGGAGCTTCATCATATTTAGACTAAACACACTTAAATTATCAAGACTTCAATTTATGATGACCGAAGTTTCATCGATTTCAGTAGATCTTTTCTAAATAGGAACAAGTTAGGATCAAATCCTGTGTGTATTTCCACATGCATTTCCAAAACATATGATACTTGATGGATCAACCTGTATTCTAGAGGTTCTAGCAGTTCTTGAATAGATATTTTTATAGATTAAACCCAAAACAGTGAATTAAGGCACAGCCCCCTCACACAACAGCGCTGGGAATCATGTGGCCTTCCAGATGTTGTTCTGCCACAGCTCTCAGCAGCCCTAGCCAGCATTGCCAGTTATGAAGAAAACTGGGAGTTGCAGTCAAATACGATCTGGATGGCTGCCCGATTTCTCCATGGCAAATACAAAGACAAACATTATGCTAATGCCCTCCTCCATATCTAACGCTTAGTGCTAGGGATCCTGGGAATTGTAGTTTATTGTGACACCAGAGCTCTCTGACAAAGAAGGCTAAATGTCTCACAAAATTACAGTTCCTAGAATACCCTAGGATTGATTTAGGGCAGTTTAAGTGATCTCTAACTGGATTATTTCTGCAGTGTTTTTTGGACCCCCTGAGCTGCATTTAGGGCCTCTGCAGACCGGCCTAAAGGGCCAGCCTGGAGGCACAGTTGGGGCGGGGCAGTCACATGCCAGCCAGCCCAACCCCACGCTGATGCTGTCCTGATGCCGTGCGCCATTACACATGGCACGCAGCACCAGTACGCCCTTCCGGTGCAGCGTTCTGACGTGCTGTGCCAGAAGGGGCAAGGAAGAGCTGCGCGCCGGCTCTTAGGGAGGCCTTTTGCTGCCCCTGAAAGGAGCGGCATTTTGCTGCTCTTTTTGGGGTGGCAAAAGGGAAGCCCCAATCCATTGCTTCCCGGGGCGGCCCAGAAACACCTGTCTGCACACCCCCTTAATTTCCCTGGCTTTAAAAAAATAACTGAAAAATAATATTCTGAACTTTACAAGCACTGAAATATCTTAAATGTAGAAATTTATATTTATGGGGAAAGATATAGAGCTTAAACATGTTCTTAAAAAAGTGTGTATATATATATATATGCATGTGGGTGGTGAATGGGGGGCTTGGGGAAGAATTATATGCCATATTGATGCAGCCTGTGCAAATGTTTACAGATGAGTTATAAACCTCAACTAATGGTCCTTTGATGAAAGTGCTGATACTACCCAAACTGGAAGAGTGCAAATGGGCTCCTACAATAAACTGAGTTCTCTGAGTCCAAACATTTTCCTGTAAAATGACCCCTTCCCCTGAGTCCCACCTCTCCAGCTCTCCTTTTTATGTAGGGGAATAATGAAATATTTCATAATGTCATATTTGTGGGTATTCATGTTTCTTTCTTTGATTTTTTTAAAATAAGAAACTTGAAAAATATGCTTTCCTTTTCTTTTTCCTAAATGCTTTTGCAGAATGAGCTTGGCAGAATGTCTTGGCAAAATGGCAGATTGCTGGGAACATTCTCTCTCTGGGAAACAAACAAGTAAACAAAATGACTATCAGTTCAAAACTCAAGCAGGCTTTGATCTATTTCTGAGAGGAAAGAGAATCTTGCATTCTTTTATTTAGTGCCATGATCAATTGCATTGGTCTCTCTAACAAACCAGAAAATACTTAGTTACTTGTAATAAGGAAAAGCTACGTTTATTTTCATGAAAGGAAATGCTGCTGTGTCTAATTGGCATTTTGCAAAGAAATGTGTTTTTCTTCATGGGGCAAAGGGATGGAGGGACTATTTAGGATCCATGCTGGTTGGGGGATTGTGGGATTTGTAGTTCCCTTATTGCTGGGAGATATAAGCAATAATGATAAATTTCTATGGTGGAAAGAAGCTCCTAAGGTGTAGTGCACTTTGCACGCTTCAATGTTAAAAGGCTAATTTTATCCAAAAGATTAGGCCCAACAAAAACCTGCACATGTGAGAAAAGAAAACTATATT